CATTTCAACGTGCTTGTGCACCCCTACAAGCCTCATTGTGGATCTTGTGCAAAGCCTTATTGTAATAGCAATAGTCTCTTCGGTCATTCGAGTTGTATGTGCCACGGTGATATCTGCTGTGTGTGATCTACTGATAAACAAGTCTGTATTAAATGCGAGAAGGAGAACGAAGGTAAAGCTTTTTTAACTGTTTTCTTTTTACAGAACAGGGCAAAGCTTCTAAAACAAGAGCAACCCAAGCCGATATTTGAGTGTGCTCAAGAATGAATGCCAAAAGGTGCTTATGCTAAGTGGTAGATGTACGCAATTGATTTTCTGTTTGCCTCTGCATTGTAAATTGGAAGATATGTATCAGCAGAAGACACGTGTTCTTTTGAAAATGTCTTTTATCAGGGCAAAAATAGGTTTTCATACACAACCGAAGAGTTTCTCAACACCATTTAATGCGAGGCCTGAACGTTTACATCATCTAAGCAACGTCAACAAAAATGTTTGTGGCCGCAGACCGATAAATTGAGGTTATAGATAAGTATGCGCCATAGTTTCAGCCTCAAACACGCAACATTGTTGATATGTACCTTTCTTGATGACAACTGCACCAACGTGAGAGTGCCCACGTCGTCGAACACTTGCACACATATGTTGACTATGGTATGGCAAGATTTCTTGCTTGAAGTGAAGATCATCTCGCTACGGCTAGCCACAACCACCCACCGCAGCGATGCATAGGCGTCGGAGGGGCGCAACGCAGTCAGTCGCCGTCACCCGACGCTGCTCGTTTGGCATTCCCGGCTTTCCGCCCAGGTGCTTCGTTTGTACTTGGCACCGAGTGTTATTTTCTGTGCTTGTGTGCTCAGTGGCTGGATATAAGCCCCAAGAGCAGTTCTTCAGGCTCAATGGCGTTCGCCGAAGAACTTCTGAAAAAAAATGCCACCCAGGAAAAAGAGCACAAAGACGCAATGCACCAGCTTGGCGGACTATGCACTGGGCGCGGAAATCGGGCCCTGCGGATTATACACCAAATGCAAACTATCCAAAGAAAACAAAAACATTTTGTGGGAATTCGCGTACCGCCACCGATTCGCCGTTTCCCACGTGGTCCGTCAACAACCCGAGTCCAGCCTGGTTCTTTCACGGGAGCGGGATTCCGCTCCCAGTTTATTGGTACAATAAAACACAACACTACAAAACACTCAATCTAAACTACAAATACAAGCTACATTACACAATTATTTACAAATGCACGTTAAGGCTAAAGCTAAACACAAAGGAGGCCCTTAGGCCTCGCGTCCCGCGATATCCTAGATCCGGTCGCCACCCACTTGCCTGCCAGTGCCTGCGTCTCGGTCTCGTCCGAAGTTCTTAGAGGCCTCTCGCCCCCTGCCCCACCGAGTATATATGCCGATGGGCGAGGAGGTTTCTCCTCGCCTGCCACGGGGGCGCCTGCAGCGCCCTCCAGTGGCTAGGAGAGAAAGCGGCGTGTCGGGAGCCGAATTCGAGATCCCGATCGACCCCGCGGCAACACGACCATGTGATCGTGTCGCGGCCAAGATTGGCCGAATGGTTTGATGGGCGCCCTCGTGAATTCACGGTGCGCCATAATTTTTAGGCTCAAATTTGCTTCTGCGGACTATACGCATGGACACTGGTGCCTGTTATTATGCATTGTATATTCACTGCCGTTTCTTGTGGCTTGAGACTGCCTTCCTGTAATGATGCAGAGGGGTCCACTAAACCTTGAAATAAAGATATTTAAGCACATCTAGATGCAATGTCCCTTGAAGCCAGATGGTCAGGGAAAAGGTGTGCCATTACCTAATTTGCCAACAGCACACTAATTGTCACAATTAAAACTCACCGAGTCAATGGGCAGTTCTCCACCACAATATTTATTGCCGTGTAATCACCAATTTGATCCATCAAAAATATTGAGGCTGTAGCCTATAGCACATCCATTCTGGATCTGCAAAGCTTATGCTGTAGACATGCATCATCACATGAGCATGTTTCTTATCAATCTTAAACGTAAAACGCTAGTTATGTAACGAAATACCAATATCATCACATTTTTAGCAAATTGAATGGTCCCACCTGTCACAGTGTTAGCTTTGGAAGTAAACCAATTCACAATACCACCAGTGGCATATATCGTGCCAAGCACAAGTGCCGCATGTGGCACAAAAATGTCCTAGCTAGGGAAGCAAACTTAATCGATCGTGTTGATTAAAGCACTTAAGTACGGGAGAAATTATCAATCAAAGAAGGTCACTCGAAAGGGAAGTTTTCTCGCTGAACGAATATGACTTTTTCTTGGGCTTTCCGCAATGTAAGGCCGAAGATATTCACTCCGTAATCGGCACAGAGGCATTTGCTTAGCAGTCGGTCGTGCGTGCTAAAAACAACAAAAACAAAGGTGGATTAGAAACGCGATAGATTCGCCTTTGCACGGAGTATTTACACTCAAAATCGTGTCAACATAAATCGACTATGGCCCACCTTGCTATCAGGAATCTTAAAATTTATCCGTGTAGTCGTCGCACCCGCGCACCAACCGAAAGCGTTGCTGGCGTTGCTGCAAGCCCCTCCGCCGTCAACTTTGAGTCGCTGTTGAGTCTGAAGAACTGCTCTATGAGGTTCATATCCAGCCACTGAGCACATACACAAGCACAGGAAATAATATTCCGTTCCAAGTACAAGCGAAGAACCCGGGGCGGAAAGCCCTGAATGCCAAACGACCTGCGTCGGGCGACGGCGACTGACTGCGTAGTACACAGGTTGCGCGTTGCGCTTCTTCGACGCCTGCATCGCTGCGGCGGGTGGTCGCAGCTAGTCGTAGCAGATGTTGTCACCTCTGTTGCTCGTACCGGAACACTAGAGCCACGTAATATTGTTGCTGTCGAAGTTTATAAGCCTACGTTCGCGGCCAACGCATTCACACAAAGCCAACGCCCAGCGAACCTATCCCCCTCGTTCTCATTCGGCGACCGGCCGCCAGGGCGGTGACACCGTCGCTGAAACTCCTCAATATCTTATGCTATGATGCCAACTTCTCTTTTATGATTTTACACATTAGCAAATCCAAGGTTCGGTCCTGATCCGCGTCATTTGCCACGATATTTATATTTTTCCAGTAAAGCGGCGTGAAAGTTTCGATACGTGGAGGTTGCGCGTGAACAAGCAATTCATTACGTTCGACCGTTTTACAAGTCACGTCCGACGTACATACGATTAAGAAATTAATCGAGTCACATACACTGCGTTGGAGAAAAGACGATCGTCCCATGGCCTGACGCGAAGGACAGCACGAGCACTTTAAAATGTTTGCACTCACCAGCAACGAACTTGAAGCGGAATCCCGGAATCTACGGCGAAGTGAGTCCCCGGCTTTTTGGCTTCTTGCCTGAGCAGGCCCATTTAGAACACATTCATAGCGCGATTCGGTAACTCACGTGACATTAAAACGCCAAGCGAGGATCCAACCGAAAGGGAAATGTACTAGGAAAGAGAAATTCGCAGAACAGCAACACCGACAACGCGACCGGCGACATGGCTTCAGTTAGGGCAATGAACTTTTTGAAGCTAACGGTAACTGCTCGATTTTTTCTTTCCATATTGGTTTATCATTATCACCTAGCTTATTATGTTTTCTAAAAATATTAACATTAACGGATTCTTTTTGACCCTGTTTTTTTGTTTGACAACTTCAGTTGTCGCCATCCGGCTTGAGGAGCGCTGTGTATGCGCGATTACCGGAAGTGGCCTTGAGTGGGACCACTCATAGTGGGACCACTGGTTATGATTCCACTGTGACGGAGGCCAATGTGGACTCCTCGCGTTGGGACGCCGGACGGCGGTACCAGAGCCGTTTATCGAGAGAGTTTGGCCATACATTGGTTTGAATAGGCGAGCGTCTCGGGGCCAACCACAGGCCGCGAAACAGCCCCTAGCGGTGGTCGTGAGCTCTAAATTTGTGACACGACTAATTCAAGCCGTTTTAGCGTCGCTAGAGTTAAAAGGTGTGACTCTCAGTGACTGAAAACTTTGAGCGTGCGAGGTGTTCGTCACGCCAATATTTAAGTGTAGAATAAACGAACGTGCGCTCCAAACCAGGGCCAACTTGCTAACAGCGTCTCAGCTGAGACGGTGAAGGAAGGCACTGCCAAAGCCAGCGCACGAGCCGAGCGGGACTCCGCGTCTCCAGACGCTCGCGCGCCCCACCCTTTGCGCTGTTTTCTTTCCGCCAGTCACAGGACGCTGTTCTTACAAGCCAACATCAGCAGTGCAGAGAAAGGTATGGGCACAAGCGCGTGGCTTTGGAAAGTGGCTCCTATGCACGAGTTCTCGTACAAACAAAAGCGTTCTGCTGAGTTAGGTTCACGCGCCTGTACCTTTGTCTTCACTGCCGACATTTGTGAGATGGAGCAGAGAGGCCGAGATTGAACGCTTCTATTTCACGCTTTAAATGTCGTTTGCAATATTGTGACGTCGCGGTCTCCTGATTGGTCGACGCTGTGTCACAAATTTAGTTTACGCTCTAAGCGCGGGGGGAATATTCGGCGCTGGTGGCGGCCTTTGCTCCGCCTATTGGCCAAACTCTCCCAATACACGGCTCTGGGCGGTACCGCCCGGCGGCGCCGCCCGGCGGCGCCGTTCACGCTAGTGTGGTCGGGCCTTCCTTCGCTTCGTCCCGCCAGACCCAGTGCGTCATCATGACGTTCGCGCTAGCTGTGCTGTCATTGGCTGGCGACACGCACGGCGGTACTCCGTCGCCGTGCTGGCCGTGCACGCACGGCGCAGAGCGGGCTCTGGCACGGCGGTACTCCGTCGCCGTGCTGGCCGTGCGTGCGCCGTGCGTGTCGCCAGCCAATGACATGCACGGCGACACGCACGGCGGTATTCCCTCGCTGTGGGGACCGGCGAGCCGCGCATTGCACGCACGTGTCACCAGACGGACCAGGGAGTCGTATTGCCGGATCGGACGTCGGATCGGATGGATTTTTCGCGCATGTGCCGCAGTGGAAAAGTTTGACGGGCCTGGGTGCAAGAAGAGAGCGATGTGAGTATACGTTTTATTCAAGATACCAACTTTATTTTATTCAAGATACCAACATAGCGTTCTGGCTCGAACGCGCTGTCTGTGTGGCGCTTGATAATAGAGAGTTTTAGTAGACCGTTTTTGGTTTCCCGCTCCGCTCTATGGAAAGCGGAGTCGCCATCGCGCATGCGTGGCCCGCTCTGGGATTTGAGCGCGGAGCGTCAGCTCCGCTATCGTCGCCATTTTGAGAAGTACGTTCCACTCTCAGTAAAGGTTCACTAGATGGTGCTTTTCTAGAAAGGTGGGTGCTCGCTGTTTGAAATCACGCTTGGGAGCGCGCTTGACCGTTATGAACCTCGCTGCACTAAGAAGCCGCGCAGACTTTGTTTGAAAAGGCGTCCCCCAGAAAACGTTTCACGGTAGTCAAGAACCTCTGGCTGCTTCGAGAAATCGCTGGCCGTAATCCTTTCACGGCCCCTGAACGGTGGGAACAGGTGCTGCCTTGTCTAAGCCAGCGGGCTCGATTTTTCTATGCGAGATGACGAAGACGACGTTGAGAGGATGACACACCGGGCGACGGCGGTGTCTCAATCTAAGCCCTGGGCCTCGGTTCCTCGGAAGCGGCAGCTTCTACTTCGGCTGGACTACCTCCTTGGAGCATGATTCTTTGACCCCAGTGAACCCAAGTGAGCAATAGCGCCATTATGTCCCTGGTGCTCCTTCATGCACTGATCGAACGGCGTGCAAGATCCTCATAGCTCGCTGCTCACCCGCCCAACCCGCCTCCACGAAGTCTGAACTTCTGCGAATCGGACTGCCACCCTCCCCAATACCAACAACCTATGTCGTCGTCATCTTGCACGTATATGCTCATCACATGACCATGTTAAATAAACGCGGCACCGCGGGCCTCGGTGGTACGGGCTGCTGCTTTCCGCGGTGCCGCGGCTCTCAAGAGCCAAAAATTAAAGGTTAAAGACCAAAGACTAAAACAGTCGGCAAACGGACAGATATTTTGTTTGGTTACTTCAGGCAGCAAGACAGTGAAAATTAGCGAAAGCGAGTGCTCCATTTATATCTCTACTTATTTTTCCCAATGAAATGAGTCTTTTCTTCTTCGTATGCTTCGGTTTGTGATATGGTGCCTTGGTGTTTATGTACACTGCGCGACACTGTTAGTGGTAACAATCAATATCCTGTTTTCATTTTTCACCTTAAATTCGAGGGGCTGACATTTGCCTATTGGTGTGGAATAAAGCGCTCGTTTGGGGCACTAATCTGAGCGACAAATTTTCAGCTTTTTCAATAGCTGTCAAAGAGATAAACTGCAAATAAAAGCGATTTTTTTCGTGTTCGTATTAACAGTGGAGCGCAGTGTACGTATCTGCCTTGGGGGGTGGCATGAAACCATTTTGCTTGATTATACACTTCTTTTTATTTCTTTTGTGTGTTTATAAAATGCGTTTTTCAGCTTAAGCTCCTGCCCAGTTTCTGCCTCACTTGTGCTACGGTCTTTTCTTGCAATAGAAGGCCACGCAACATAGTCTACTTTTACAATGCTGAATTCAACAGTAACACTGTAATTTGGTTGGATGCAATATTCACACGCACATCTGGGAAGTAAAATGGGAGTCGCTAGTAAACGTTTTTTTATTAAAATATTTCTAGATGCCTTTGAGCCCAGTTGGACAGGTATTTCGCTTTGTAAAAAAGCTTGAACATGATTTACTGTGATAATTTTATGCATTCTAATATTAAACAAACAAAAAAATGCCCATGGTCTTTGTAGGTTTCTTCCAGCCGTCAAATTATGCCGTCTGCGCACATCACTGCCTGGTGCTTCACGACGAGCACCCTCTTGTGGTCTTCTTCTGATTTTTTTGATGGACGGCATATGGGCATGCTGTGCGGTCAACAAAACCCCAACAGTTGTTCAGGGGTGTTCCCTTGTCCTTGAAGGCCTAATAAAAAAGACAAAGAAAAACACTCTTACAACACAGCAATATTTAAACACTACCAAAACATGTGATATGGGACTTGTTACTCCTCTAAGATAAAGCGTATTTCCATTTTAGGATTGTAAAAAACTGGGTATCGTAAATTAATATATATATATATATATATATATATATATATATATAGTTGTTCCTTAATTCTGCTAAGGTTCGAGGCCGTCAAACTGTGCATGCGAGGCCCGCTACGCCGGAATTCAAAACGAAACTTCCAAAAACTGTTCTAATCTACCACTATCGCTTAGAAGTCCAGGGTTGTGTTTGCTAAATTTTGCATTGTTTATGCCTGTCTGGTTTTCACCAGACAAAAAATTGACGTGGAATATTCTTTCGACCGTTATTGGTAACTCTTTTCAAAACACCACCGGGTAACATATTCGGCCGCCATATTTTGGGCATCGCTTTTAGTGCGAAACTTGTGACTAGAACCCACTTCATATTCAGTATTGACGCAGCATTCGTGTCTAATACATTTAGACTCGCATCCGCGACAAACAATGACGTAGCTCTCTTGCTCCCTAGACACTTGGCCAAAATAAGGGGGCCTCGAAGACTAGCGGCACCATGGGTTGCACTTTTAAAAAGGCTGCATTCAAGTTTCTATTATTTTCTAAATCTACCAAGGAAATCCAATGCAAACATTTTTTGAGCAAAGTTAAACAATTCAAAAGTTGCGAGCGAGTGTGAATAAATAAAGCTTAGAGGGGGAATGGTTTCTTTGGTGCAGCTTGCGAGCGCTATGCTCGTGGTCAGCTTTCAGTGGCATTTTCGACAGGAGGCCGCATGCACAGATATAATCAGCGTTCAAGCACGCGCACCCGTACATCTGACTGCATAGCCATAGGACGTCCACAAAACGCGACGACTTACCGACGCCGTGCTGGTTGCAAAGTGACACGCGTTCACTTCGTTTGATTATGCTGTTTTGTGTTACATAGAACTCAAATAGAATGGTTTACTTTTTACGCGCGGGGCGTACGCTTTACTTCTTGATACGGCCTCTTTCAAGCTGAGGTCACGGTCAAAAACATCGACGCGTATTGAGTAAGTGCAGCCATCTTGAGATCTAAGCGATCACGCTAAGGACGCTGAGGGCAGTCCGCTCTACAACTTGTGAAGCGGAGCGTACGCTCACTCCGCTAACTATACGCTCCAACTCAGAGCGGGCCACGCATGCGCGGTGGGGACGATGCTTCTCGTAGAGCGTAAAGTAGAGCAAAGAGGGCTCATAAGAATGCCCTACTAATACTCATAGATTACGAACGCGCTCGTCCTGACTTGTCCTGACACTGCCCATGTACACCTTTGGCGTATAGAAAAAAAAGTAACTTTTCACCAGACAGAGCAGCTGCGCTAGAAACAATGGAAACGAGAAATTTACACAAACCATGCAGGGTCTCACCTGTGAGCACAGCTCTAATTTCGCCAGGGTCAACCACGTATGTTTTTTCACGTCAGCGAGCAGGTGGCCGAACCTCTCGTTGATGTGACCCACGATGAGGTTCAGAGAACTGAAGAACACCGACAAGTTCCGTCCAAACGCTCATCCAAGTACGAACAGACGGTTGGGATAGGCCAGACGAGGAAGAACCATGCAAAGCGTCTCGCCAGATTGACAACACCCTGCGCCAATCTGTCGGGTGCTGGTATTTGGAGGCCCGCATGCAGAACAGCCTGGTCCTTCTTTAAGCAGGATAGCTTCCTAAAGAGTTTCTTTTCCACTTTGGAAATATCCAGAAAACCGCGTTCGGAAAGGAAGCTTCGGCGCTTGATGGCACGAGGGATACGAATCATAGATTCGATGTCTCGCCAGCTTAATCTCGTTAGTAGAAGTCTCCTTCCTTGAGAACAGCGGGGATTCATCGTGCAGATGCCTTGCTAACCTTGAGCAACACTGAACTCGTACTACGCAAAAGGATGTACTCGCAATGCGCAAACTTCGTCCTTTTCTCTTATTTTTCCACTTCAAATAAGTAAATCTGTTTAAGTTTTAATCCGAGTGGAGCAGAAGCTACAAGAGCGAGTGCCGGCCTTTCAGCGTCCTAGATAAGCACGCGCGCTCGTGCAGTGCAAGTACCGTTTAGAGCAACATGCTCATGCTTATACTTTCGGCTTCACTCGCACACAAGGTGGAACGATTATATTTATATTTTATAGCTTAATATTTCTTCAGGTGTGTGCCTACTCTTTTGTGTTCATTATTGTCGCCTTCGTTTTTTACTACCTCTACAATCACGCTCCCTTTTACTCTCTTGGTGTTAACGCTTAGGTTTTTTTGTCTTACTAGTACTATAAACGTCCACTTGTGGGGCTACGCAAGCAAAATTTTTCGAACCCGCTCAAAACGCTCTTACGCTGAAGAAAAACGCTCTACTAAAACGCATTTTTGGACCTCCGCTTTCCATTCCGGCGAAGCGGGCCGCGCATGCGCAGTTTGGCACCCTCAGAGCGGAGCGGAAGATTAAAACGGTCTACTAAAACTCTCTAATCTTTTCTTGTTAAAAGTGTTGAGCGCTCTTTACAAATGTGCCTTAGTCGAAGCAGGATTAAAGCAGAAACGTTATGACCGTATAATGAATCTTTTATTTTCGCGGCCGCTATATTTCACGAACTCCAGGCGCCTGCGTGAAACTCGATCGAAACTTTCGCGTGCCCTTAAATTTCACAAATTTCTCAATTCGCGAAAATTGAGGGCCCGAGGACATTAAGGGTTTTACAGTAGTATGCGTATTCATCTAAGTGGTGGGTAAAATACGTAGTTCGAGCACAGGCTTTAAAAGCATACCGCAAACTCCTGATCTGAGGTATTTTGCTCTGCTAAGAAACAAACACAAAGAAGAAAAAAAAATTAAAAAGCTTGGCTGGGAAAAGGAAGTCATAAAACAAATTTACAAGGAAAGAGATAACTTTTTCGGGCTATATTTTATGCGCGATACAAATTTGTGGTTGGCGGGCGCCGCGGCAAAGTGGCCGCTATTTATCACGTAGTGCTTGCCCTCTGTCGGAAGC